TGGGTAGGATTCATGCTTGTTGTTGTTGAATCATTTTAGGGTCATTTTGGTCATTGTTCTTTCAGCAGTTAGTCTGTTGTGTTACTCTAATTTGTGTGTTCATTATTTGTTAACTTGTGTTAAACCGTTCAGCAGAAGTAACCATAAGTGAGAGTGGTAGGCCTAGTCATTAATAAGACCTGTGAGTTTCACTTTGTGTTGTTCATGAAGAAAAATCCAATAAAGGTTCTTCAAACCACCACCTGGTGTTGAAGTCTTGAACTACAACATGAGCTACACCTCTCTCTGTAGCTGTGCACTGTTATAAAGAACTTGTAAGGTTTACTTGAAAAAATCCTCGTAACAATTTGCACTAAGGTTTGTTAAGTAAATTTAAATGGTACAAATTCAAGTCATGCCATATTTACTCATCTTTATCTATTAAGTTATTAAGAATATAGTTAAAGATTTGTGAATAAATCAGGTAAATTTTACTTAATTTGATCAAGTATATGTTACAAGATTTAATTGAGCAAATTAAGTAAAATTTACCTTATTTATTCACAAATCTCTAACTATATTCTTAATAACTTTTACTAGATAATGATGAGTAAATATTACATGAATTTGTAGCATTTAAATTTACTTAACAAACGTTAGTGCAAATTGTTACAAAGATTTTTTCAAGTAAATCTTACAAGTTATTTTTTTCAGAGTGGGGAGAAAAAGTAAGAACTAGGATTCAGACTTTTTCTAAACAAATTCTCTGTTAACTAACAAGACGTTTATTGTCCTACACCAGAATGTCTTATAATTAATGTCTGGATATTTTTTGACTCTTTAATCGAACTTTAGATGCACACTTATATTTTATACTTTGTGATTGATTGCAATTATTTACTTTAAACTGAGAATCTACAAGTCTCTGTTAATACGTGCCTCACTCCAACAGTATAAACACCCAATGTCTTACATTTTAGAAGCAATTACTTCCTTGTATACCATGACACCATATTCCAGGTGGGACTTGACTCTGGTATAAAGCTGTTGGCACGTGCAGTCCACGAAAATAGGATAACCAGCACTCCAAAAATACCATGTTTTTAATAGGGGCAGAAAACAGGATGTGTTTTGGCTACATGCCGTCATCAACTTGTTACAGATCAGACAAACTACGAGTCTATATAAAGAGGTGAAAAAACACCTAAGCCAATC